TAATTTATATATAATACTAAACAGACGATAGCAAACTCAATTTAGCCGTTCCGTAGCGTGGCGCAGGGTCGGAGGAAAGTAGTTCGGCTGCTCATCCACTATTGGTCCAGACTCTATCAATCTTGTCGCGAAACGACGTTATAGGAGGTACGTTATACGAAAGTTGCTAGAATTTTTTCGCTACGTTATAGGAATTGTCGTTATAGGAACGTACGTTATAGGGGGGTCGACTGTATTTTTGATAAATGCTTTGATTAGGATCTTTATCTTACAGTATTTATGACATATAATTGTTGAAGATGAGTTTTTAGTCTTCAATTTAAATTTAATTCAATAATTAATTTAGTATACAACAGTATACTAAATTAAGATAAGTTTATTGACAAGACTGTCTTGTTTATAAAATCATACTGTCGGTTTATGTTACCAGCTCATAGGTATGAGGGAATACATGTTGAGAGTTGATATTTGGCACAGAGTATTAGGTGCCCAAATCATTTGCACATAAAAAAATCCAGATTTGTAGGTAGTCAGGGGACTGAGAACAGAGTCAAAATAAAATACAAAATGGCGATCCTCTTCTACAAACGGCACTTCACCCCACCGAAGTCAGGTGGGAAGAGTACCACCCACAGTCATTCTAATAAGTGAACTCTGACCTTAGAAGAAACTGTGTGTTCAGTCCTATGTTAAATATAATTTGTAATCTAATTTTGTAAATTTGGGAGTGCTTCAGATATGATGTTAAAACGGTTTTATGTCATTACAAGTGGGTTTTTTTAACATTATCTAGTATAGTAAAATCGTGGGACTGATAAAAATTTGACGTTATATTAGGATTGTCGTTACATCCGATGACATTATAATTGGGTTAAACTGTACATTGTTTGTGCAAAATTAAAAAATAATTTCAGACAATACAATAGCCATGATTATTTTTTTCATAAACGGGAAATTTTCGTTATGCATCGACAAAAATTCAACCTGGGCCAACATGCAACAGAGAGAAATTTCGGAATTGGATAGGTTAATTTCATCGAAAATGCATCGTGGTCGTGGCCAGTGAAGTTTGAATTATTGCGCTCAAAAACAGCGATACCAAAGAAGATTGGAGAATGAGAACGAGACCTGCCTTGAGCGTAAACGTGATTTCGCTTATTAGTGAGTTTCTGAGACATAGTCTTGTCCCAAATACTGTTTTTCCGTTTTACTTGTTTAAAATTCAAATAGTTTTTAACTATAAATAGTATTAGAAATCTCCACATTTTTTGGTAACAAGTCATTCATAATTCTTTTTCTAGTGAGGCAATTGAAAAATGGTGTTTATGTGGTGCATTTTTGAGATTTATATGATGAATCAATTGAAATTATTCTAACTTAGAATTTAGACAACCTGGATAATAGAAGCTCACAAGACTTGTTAATTAGATATAAATTATTTTATAAACAATTACAAATCTGTTACTTGCAGACATAACAGACTTTTATGCAGACTTTAACAGAGCCTTTATAAAATGGATGCAAAATTACCAATGGCAATTGAATCCATTGTCTTTTCTATCTTTGATGATGATAGAATTTTTAATGTAGGGTGATCAAAAAGTTTCTTTGCAACATTACAGGTCCTAAAATTCTGACTGTTTTAATGGTTGCATTAGTATCCATTCTGTTTAACATTTCGAGAATATGATAAGTCTGTATTATTGTAGTGTTGCAGAATTATATATTTGTGTATGTGGTATCTTTGTGGAGTAGTCTTCCAATTGTTCTAAATCTGTTGAAATACACTTTACGACAGTTTTCTCTATAATAATTCTGTTATAAAATTTAATTGAATTGAGTGAAAATTCTGATTTAGATGTCTAATTAATCTGTTAATGTATTATACAAGGTTATTAACATATTAAAGCGTTAAAGATCATAATGACATCAAAATATTGAAGAAAGTTTTATATGCTTCGATATTGTTGATAGGAAGAATACAGAAATCATGATGATAAACAACAACAATTGTAAGTGATAGATATAGCAGAATCTGAGTCATTAAGCATTTTTGAGGCCTCTGGCCAATTTCTTTAGAGCCACAATATGCATATGAAACAAAAATATTAGTGATCAGACAAAGCGTCCGAGGCAAGTTCCTCAGCTTTGACTAGGCTATCCATGCATTCCTGCAGCCCTCAAGTTCAATAAATATTGGATTGAACTGAAAGTTCATTCAGGTATTTGCAACACTTGTCTGCGTTGCCTCTGTCATTCTTATCAAGTTTTAACTTGTTTAGGTAGACATTATGAATATTAACATATTTAATATGTAAGTTAAAAGATACAGCTTTTTTTTTTAAATTCTGTTAATTAAAGATAAGAAGGTGCATTTTTGACATCTCGTGCTCTATTATTTCCAAAAAGGGAAAAGAGACAAAAATGCAAAAGAAGATATGTGCTGTATATGGAGAGAATGCAGTTACTAATCAAACATGCCAGAAATAGTTTTCAAAATTCAGGGCAGGAGGTTTTTCTCTCAAAGATGAACTCAATCAGGATGACTTTAGACCATAGATGAGTCCATAATGGTGTCAATTCAAAATGAATGGCATAGAACAACACAAAAATATCTCAAATGTTGTCAGACATTTGGCTAGCCTTGGATAACTTCCCATTATGATGTTTGGGTTCCCCATCACTAAGTGAACAAAACCTTATTGAGCATGTTTCTGTTTGTGATTCACTTTTAAAACGCAATGAAGACAAACAATTTTTTAATGCACGAGATCTTGGAGTAAGCCAGGTGATCCACCAGTGCTACAACCTAAAGCTGGTTTGCATCCCAGAAAAGTAATGATTTCAGTTTGGTGGGATTGGAAAGGGGTTCATTATTATGAGCTTTCACCCAACAACCAAATGATTAATTCCAATAAATATTGTCTCCAACTGGATGAACTAAAGGCTGCAGTGCATCAAAAATGTCCGAAACTTGCAAATCAGTGGGGAGTTGTATTCCATCATGATAATGCAAGACTGCACATATCACTAAATGTGCATCAAAAACTTCTAGGCTTTTAAATGGGATGTTTTGAGTCACCCTGCGTATTCTCCAGATATTGCTCTCTCAGACTATCATCTTTTTCGTTCATTGTAGAATGAAATTCTATGCCATTTAAATTAATCTCTAGAAAGTATCAAAAATCACATTGATAATTTCTTCAATCAGAAACCCACCCAATTCTACACAGATAGAATTATGAAACTACCCTTCAGGTGGCATAAGGTTACTGAACAGAATGAATACATTGTGGATTAAAAGTTTTTATTTATTCCAAAATAGTATATTTTATTTCTTTCAAAAAACTGAAGAAACTTTTGGTTCAACCCAATATTTTAAAAACTAGTTTATCATCATATAATTATATTAAGTGTAAAATTTTACTTGAGTTTTTGTATTTTCAGAATTGCGTGTATCTCTTGCCCGACTGTGTACAAAAAATTACGTTCATTAAATGACGGTAAACTATGGTTATGTCTCCTGGAATACGACAAAAGATTTGGCATCTACGGAGATGATTTTCTTTTCTATGATTACAAGAGTCCCCTAGACCTGGACGGACTACCAGAGACTGCCTTCGACGTGGTGCTGGCTGATCCACCATACCTGTCCAAAGAGTGCCTGAGTAACGTGGCCAAAACGATTAAATTTCTTGCTAAAGACAAGATCATTCTTTGCACAGGTAAGCATAAAATATATTTGACACACAAGCCACCATCATTTAATAAGATAATCCATTTTTAGATGTCAAATGACATCTAAAAATGCTAACTGTAGAACATAATTAGCAGTAATGTACAAAAATTCATCTTGGTTTCGATTATAACTATAATGCTAGAGATTGTCTGTGGAAAATTTTTAATAGCCTACAAAATTTCTGTCTATTCTAAAATCCTATTTTCCCATAAACATTTGTAATGATTTCTTTGTTTATCATAGCATCATACTTACACGGGGTCACCGTGGCATTTTATAGCAATCGCAAACCCTTTTTTATTCATCAAAACAGAAAGTTATTCACCAGATTACTTTTTTGATTACTGTAGCTTTTTCTACTGACCTGAAATGAAAGGATGAGAGACAATATAAAAAATGCAAAGCTTTTATCGCAGAGTTTCTCAACCAACTTTCTGTTTATACAGTAAAATTGTTTTGTTCTATAACACCTTCATTTATAGGACCTCTGCTCCATAATGCACTGCAGAGATTAATTTCTAACAAATAGTTTATGTAACTATATAAATTTACAACACACATTTTCAATTGAAAAGTAAACATGAATATAATAATAGTAAAATTGTATCTTACCTAGACCGATTTATGTTCTGTGCTTTTTTTTCCTCTGGACTACTCTGGCTATTTGCCACTCCAATTGCCAGATGGATATAATTTTCATAAATTTTGGGACAGTCAGTGTGACCTCTGCTTTCAGAACTAACAGAAATTGGTAATGTTTGCGTTTATTATAAATGCTTTTAAATCAAGGATGGGCAGGCAACCTGTGGCCCACATCACATTAAATATGAATAAATATATCAATTTCCCAGCTTAAGGAAGTATGCAGCAAAAATTCAAATGTTATTTTCTACAATTACATATGTAAATAGTTTTTCCACAATAGATTTAGTAGAAATTAAAACAAGAAACTGGCTAACAGACACATTGAAACTAATTTAAAACTAGCAGTGACCAGTGTTCCCTCTAAGCTGCGCGACTGCGTACTGCTCAAATTGTTGCCGCGCATGCGAGCACGCACACCGATTTGAATTGTTGTTTACTTATTTCTCACTCTGTCTGCAACATGATTGCTGCTACGTATATTTCAATTAAATACATTAAATCATTGACAAGAGATAATATTTTGTATAAAAGNTGGAAATGTTGAGTCGAATTAGTCTAGAATTGATTAATTTTATGAAAGAAAACCTTTCAAACAGCCGTAGTCCGTAAACTATGATTCCTACAAAATTGATTCATAAAGAACGGAACGTATCTACCGTCTTATAGGGGGATCTACTGTATATATATATTCGTCAATGCTTTCTTTATGTAAGTTTGCCGATTAGGGGGGGAGTTTATTCCCTACCATCAGGATGGACTAAGGTCAATTCGTATGTGGGTGGTGGTTTCAAGGAGGCAGGAAGAGACAAGTGTTTCACAAAGAAACCGTTTATTTAAGTGACAATGCTTACATAATTAGGTCAATGTCCGGAAGTCTGGAGTTTGGTTTACATTGTCTTTGAAAGTTCTTTCTTTCTCTTTTCATGTTGGCGAGTCAGTCTTCATTGATGTTGAAATTAACCGCACAAAATGTCAAAGGATTCACAAGGAACTGGGAATGTTGTGTGCACCTGATGATCTGCAGAAGATGAAGCCCTTCTGTCCTTTTCAAACTAGTTCTTGTCAAAAACTTTTGACTTTTCTCCTCGCTTCTCAATTGGTCTCCCACCTGTCTCCAGGTGTAAATGGAGCTCCCTTCAGGGTTTGGGAAAGGTCAGTTAGATATGATCTATCCGACATCATCTCTTAGACTCCAATCACATTTTGTCAATGACTATGACACCCACACTCATTCTAATATTTTTCTAGTTTCATTTCACTTTCTAAACTGTGTTTTAAGTTTTAATATTTTCCTTTTCAATTTTCTTTATATAAAATTTTGTTTTTTCCCACTATTCTTTATGAGCATTGACATCAAAGTCCGGTGTCGCCAACTCGATACTTTTATAATTTCTTTTCTTGACAGTTTAACTTACAAATTTTACATTTTTCTTTTTTTGCTCTATTTCTGGTCTCACATTTATAAGATGGATTTTATATTTTAAAGTATTTGCTGAGCATAAGTTCTTAGTGTAATAATTTTTTATATATATATTCTTTTTAGGAAGATGACGATGACATTCCACAGCTTTCAGCAGAGACTCTACAAGCGTTGTACGAATTTTACGAAGAGAGAACTCAAAAAATGACCGAAGAGATGAACAGGGAGAAGAATGAAATTGAAGAAGATTGGGTATAAATTTGTTATTTTTTGCATATTAAAATGGTTTAATTTGTAATTAAACACAAGGGATGAGTCAAAATGACATAAACAACTTTGACATTTTATTTCAAATCAACTATACCATTTCCATGACATAAAGTGATATTTATGCTTTTATTTGGATAAAGTTTCTAATAGTATATTAGTCCTTCAATAAGTTTCTGTGTGTATGCAAGGGTTACATTTAAACATAAACATAATAATCAAAATTGTGCCACACTTTCTACACTGCCATATTTTTCTCAGTCTAAAATTATTGCAAGAATTATGAGAACACATCACATAAACAAAATAATGGACAGGGAGAGTGTATGAACATTGAATCTTTCACAGAAACCCCCCTAAAACATCTAAGGGTATGAGGTAGCCAATGAAATAAAGTTGTTGTTGTCATTTTGAAAACATAAATGCCATTAACCAAGTCTAAAGATAATTAAGAAAGCTAGTCTATGGCTAATGAATTTGCTTTCCGGTCAAAGTTTTGGTCACTGAACATTCACTAACAATAAACTGTACATTTGAAAGAACTGAATGGAAGAAAATGTGAAAAATATTTCTTCTCGCATAATTAAACACTTGCATCTATTACCGCATGCAATAAACTTTCTTTCGGTGGTGGAGGTTAACATTCGATTAATTATGGAGTTTTCTTACTTAACTCATTACGTTACACATATTGTCACCTGAAATGTTCCAGTTTCTTCAATTCTAGATCTACAAAGTCACTCGATCCGAGGATTTGTAAAAAGTTCAAGAAGTCTCCGGGAGGATCGTCGCTTAAGGAACAGAGATTCGAAGGATCTCGAGGCTAGTCAAATTTAGCTATCATAAATATGGAAGTGTTCTGCAAGTTCCACATGAATTTATTAAACGTTTTCTATGGTATCCAGTCTAAAGGACAGTCTGGTGTAACCATCCAGCAGAGCATAGTTTACTCTGCTTTGTCTCAATGGTGATGAAACCTATGCATAGATTGCCAACAGTCAGTCCAAATGCTTCATACATTGTTGTAACTAGTCATAATGGGAAAAATCATTTTTAATTAATGCCAATGAAGTCGTCATTATTTCCCTGAAGACACTAAAAGTATAAAGGTATAAAATTGAGTATTTTTTAAAATTTGTGTAGGAGTGAGTAAAATATAAATTTCTAACAGGCAAATAGGATTTCTTCCAAAATCAGTCTCTTGATAGAGAGGCAATTATCTGTACTAAGGATCTTCTACAGTTTATATACAATGACAGATTTTACTGAAGTATGCAAAGTTTGGTTAATTAATTATAATAATTTGATTTATTTAGATTCAAAAAATATTGTTAATTAATAATAAAGTAACAGCTAAGTTGCAATCTTTTTTCAAGCAGTTTTTTGTAAATATGATGATAAAAAGATGATAAATAACAACAACACAAAGCCCGAATAGTATACATACTACATTGCCAAACGATCGCCTAAATATCGGGCTAATATATGGCTACTTAAATGATTAGAACTAAAGAAATTTGTCATAAGAGGTAGCCTACCTCTTAGGACAAATTTTTTTAGTTCTAATCATTTAAGTAGCCATATATTAGCCTGATATTTAGGCAATCGTTTGGCAATGTAGTAAAAAGATGATAATTTTTTAAATTAGAATTAAATTTCTTTGGCTGTTGTAAATCATATATTCAGTTTATTAGTATTCTAATTTTCTAACTTATATTTAAATATTTGTAAAAATTTTTGTTAATTTCTGATCCTTTCAGCAACTCAGCCAATTTTGGTATGACGAGACAACTGCCGAAATTCTGGCAAAAGAAGCCATCGCGTTGGCAGGAAACAATGGCAAGTTAGTCACCCAACATATTTTAATTTATTTTATATAGTTTAAGTCATACATGAAACAAAGAATGAATACAGTAGACCCCCCTATAACGCTTAGATACGTTCCACGCTAACCGAAAATTACGTTGTAGGAATGATTAAATACATGAGCCAATCGCAGCCCGATAGGTGTGAACTTTACGGACTAAGGCTGTTTGAAAGGTTTTCTTCTATAAAATTAACCGATTCTAGACTAATTCCACTCAACATTTCCAAAATACGTATAATTTTTTGGGAATAATCTGTATAAACTATGCTATAAACAAAAAATTATAGGNAAAAAAAAAAAAAAAAAAAAAAAAAAAAAAAAAAAAAAAAAAAAAAAAAAAAAAAAAAAAAAAAAAAAAAAAAAAAAAAAAAAAAAAAAAAAAAAAAAAAAAAAAAAAAAAAAAAAAAAAAAAAAAAAAAAAAAAAAAAAAAAAAAAAAAAAAAAAAAAAAAAAAAAAAAAAAAAAAAAAAAAAAAAAAAAAAAAAAAAAAAAAAAAAAAAAAAAAAAAAAAAAAAAAAAAAAAAAAAAAAAAAAAAAAAAAAAAAAAAAAAAAAAAAAAAAAAAAAAAAAAAAAAAAAAAAAAAAAAAAAAAAAAAAAAAAAAAAAAAAAAAAAAAAAAAAAAAAAAAAAAAAAAAAAAAAAAAAAAAAAAAAAAAAAAAAAAAAAAAAAAAAAAAAAAAAAAAAAAAAAAAAAAAAAAAAAAAAAAAAAAAAAAAAAAAAAAAAAAAAAAAAAAAAAAAAAAAAAAAAAAAAAAAAAAAAAAAAAAAAAAAAAAAAAAAAAAAAAA